TGGAGCAGGTGGGTGTGGCTGGGAGCAGGTGGGTGTGTCCTGGAACGGGTGGGTGTGTCCTGGATTGGGTGGGTGTGTCCTAGAGCAGGTGGGTGAGGCTGGGAGCAGGTGGGTGTGGACTGAACCCATAGGTGTGGCCCCCAGGAGTTGACTGAGGGTCTGTGTGGTCCAAGTATCCGAAAAGGGTGGGGCTGGAGCAGTCCTCCCATCCAGAACGTGGGGGTGTTTGGGGAACGTCCGCAACTCAAGCCCTGTGGGAGGTGCCCACGCCTCGCTGGAAAGCCGACAGCCTGCAGCTGGGAGGTGGCGGGGAACGAGGACCCTAACAACGGGTCCATAGACGGTGAAGTGACCGCATCCACTCATGGAGAGTTTGGTTTTGCTCAGGTATCTGGCCAGCCTTGCCCTCTTTGCCCATGACGTCTCTGGTGTCTCTATGGCAGCCCAGGGCACTGGATGGAGGACCTACGGGAAAGCAGGGCTCGCTGTCCGGAGGCTAGGCTGTTCGTGGTGGGGGGAGGGGGGTCACTAATATGTGCCTTGTTGGTCACCTCTACGGCCACAGCAGGGCTACTGCAGGGAACTGAGCTGGGGCAGATTGGGTTTTTTTCTGGGTAGACACTGTCCTGAGCCAGTAGATGTGAGGGCCTCTAGCTGGCTGGGGTGGGTCATTCTGTGGGGATCTCACACAGAGTGACCTAGGATTGTAGGGGCTGAGAGAGGGTCCCCCTTTGATACAGGCACCACAGCCCCCAGCCCCATGCCCAAGCCCCTGGGGCAGGTGTGGTCACAGTCCCAACTCTGAGGACTGCGGGTCTGAGGCCCACCTGGTTTCCCAGTTTTGTTGTCCTCGTCAGACCCGTGAACAGCTGAACTCCTGGTCACAGTGTTGGGATTTCAGTGAGTCTACAGTGGGGTTGAGGGGCAGAGATCTGGACACAGGAGACCACTCAGGTATAAATTAATCACATTTCAGTGAGGTGAGAAGTTAGGACTCCAGTCTTGGGCTGTGTTTCCTGAGTTTGGTGGCCACATGGTCTTATGACTGCTAACCCAATGTCGCAGTGGACACCAACTCCATCACGGGCCACTCTGGAGGAATTCGTGCAGGACTGTCTCAGGAGCGGGCCAGTAAAGTTCTGTGTCTGCCTGTGTCCCGGCAACTGGCTGCTCATCTGGCTCCCTGAGGACCATCCACCCGCTGGGCTGCCAGCTATCGCTGCAGTGGCCCGGGGATGAGGTAGTCTCACTGCCTTTACAGTCCAGGGGGGACACGGTGTCCTCTACCTGACTCACAGACGGCCATCTCATACTTGTTTCATTGCCACTGTTCTCCCGACTTTCCGTCTCTAACATGACCCAGCATTTCCCTGACTCTGCCTGCCACACTGCCAATCCACTCTGACCTGATTGACCTTGTTGTGTAGGCTGAGTCCCGATGATCACAGGTCCTTTTTGTCCCCCTCTGCCCCTCACCTACCAGCTCTGAGACTGGACAGCACCCCTCAATGCAAGTAAGCCAGGTCACCAGACCCCCAAGCCCCCAAATCGGACTCAGGTGAGCCCGTGTGACTCAGAGCAGAACAACCCCTGTGCTCTTGGTTGTCACCGTCACAGAAGTGAATTGACAAGCCTTTCTCCTGTGGTGCCACTGAGTGGGTTCGAACCATTAACCTCCAACTGTTGTTAAAGGCTGTCAAGTTGGTTCCAACTCATAGTTAGCCTGGAGAGGGTTTCCCGGGCTGTAAAGGTTTTGGGGGAGCAGATAGCCTCAGCTCTCTCTTGCTTTAGCTTAGTTGTTGTTGTTAAGTGCTGCTGAGTTGGTTTCATAACAAGCCTGTATAGGGTTTCCAAAGAACTGACCTTGTGGTTCGTGGTCCAGTGCTTAGCCCACAGAGCCACAGCAGGTTCCGAGTGAGGGTCACCGGAGACTTCACAAACCCACAGGAAAGTGAGTCAATCTCAGCCCACCCTGGGGCTCAGTTCTTCTCTTGCTGGTGCTACGGGGTGGGTTTTGGCACCAAGTTCATGAAGCAAGCTTTGTGTTTCAGTTTCCCAGGTTCTGGACTATGGACAGAGAGCACCTGTGTTGTGTCCGTTTTCAGAGGGGGCCCTGACACCCACATATAGATTCATAGGCAGGGCCTGTCTGGCTGGGTGTAGACCTGGGTACCGGGACTCAGGGATGCTAGGAGCTGTACTAACTTCTAAGTGCCCACTCCCCTACAGCCCTTGCTGCTACCGCTGCCCTGCTGACCATTCATTTTTAGCCTTCACCGCTCCCTCCCAGTCAGACCATTTACCTGCCCTCTCATGCGACCCGTGTGCCACGTGCCTGCTCACCTGAAGCCCTGTCTGCTCAGCTGCCCTCTTTTCCCTGCAGGTTCCAGTGTGGCCGATGCCTGTGGGGCTGGGCCTCAGCCCACGTGCAGATCCTTTTCCACCTGTGCTGGGATGAGGACAGTCGCCAGGGGCTGGTGAAGATGCGCATGTGGGGCCAGAAGTGCAGGCTGTGTCCCCGGGGTGCCTCCAGTGAGTGCCAGGTGAGCTCCCTGAGTGTGCACCCCTTCCTCAATAAACTGGCTCTGCACGTCCTGCGCAAATGCTACGGTGAGAGCCCTGGACCTGACCAGTGTCCGAGGCTCCACTACAAGGCCCCTGGCAATGTCCCGAGGCCCTGCGAGGCCTGTGACCTGGGCACCTGCTTCCTCCAGAAGGGGCTGGGCCCTGCCCCAGCCCCAAGAGCCATCCGGGGCAGCTACACCATGTACAGTGGCGTGGGCCTCACCATCACTGCCTCCAGTGTCCTTGGTAGCACACGGCTGCTGGCCCTCGGGAGCAAGCCTGTGGTCAGACGACCCCGGGGCAGCAAGCCTTATGCCGTGCACAAGGGCTGCTTTGCCATACCACTCTCCGTGTCTGACTTCATCAAGAATCCACTCACGGATAGCAGCCACTTCTTCAGCAAGGGCGAAGGCATCATCACCATCCCCTTCTCCCTTGAGAATAAGGACAAGGGTCCTGTGGTCAATGGTAGCAGCCACGGCCCCACCAAGGAGGGCTCCCTTCCAGCTGCTGATACCATTGGCAAGGGCTCCCTCTGTCTCTCTGCAAATTCCATGGCCATACCGGAAGGCAAGGGCATCCCGGTGAATATCAAAGACCCTATCTTCCATGGAAAGGGTCTCCTGATCAGCAACATTGAGCTCAAGGGCTTCATCTTCAAAGGCAAAGGCTCCATATCTGACCCCATCGTCTATGACGGCAACGACACCACCATGGCTGGAAAGGGTCCAGTGCTGGTGTCTTACATCATTGGCCTCATGGCCAACGGCGAAGGCTCCATCACCTTCCCCTTGTCCTTCACCAATATCATCAAAGGCAAGGATTCCTTCACCAACATCACCGAAGGCAAAAGCAGCCAGGAAGCTTGCAATAACGGTCCTGTCACCAGCGGTCATGATGGCCTTCTGGAGACCATCAGTGATGATGGTGCCATCACCTTCCCTTTCATCTTCACTGATGGTATCAAAGGCAAGGACTCTCGTATTAACCTCACCAAAGGCCAAGGGAAGGAAGATGGCAGCAATGGCCTTGCTACCACTGATGATGACCCCCTTCCAGAGACCAAGACTGGGAGTCCCATCGCCAGCAACAAGGGTGCCTTCACTTCCGCTACTGGTGACACAAAAGGCAAAGAGTCTACTGACATCACCAAAAACAAAGGTGAGGACACTGGTGGCAATGGTTCTCTCAGCACTGGGCCAGAGTCCAGTAGCAATGGCCCCATCGCCAAGGAGAAGGCTGCCGTCACCTCCTCTACTGACAATGCCCCAGACAAGGACTCTTTCACCGTCACCACTGAAGGCAAAGAGAGGGTAGATGGAGGCAATGTCGCGGCAGCCGCAGGTCACCACCCCCTTCTGAAGGCTAGTGCTGCTGCTTCCATCACTTTCAGTGAGGGTTCCATCACCATCCCCTTCTCAGTCTTCAATATCATCAAACGTAAAGGCCCCCAGAGTACTGGCTTCCTCACCCATGGCTACTCCAAGAAGAAGAAGCCACTGAGGTCTCGGTTCAGCAAATCCAGCTGTGGGTCCCGGAGGGATGAAGACTTCTGCTCTGCCAACCCCTGTCACGGGTCTCACGCTGAGCCTTATGAAGACGTCTGGATCTGGGTTTCCATGACCGTCTGCGTCCTCTGGCTGATATGCATGTACAAGCTGAGTCCCAGCATCTTCCAGTAGCAAGTGTGATGTGTGCCCCCTTGACATCCCCTTGGCCCTGTTCTCATGGGTTGGTCCATGAAAAAGCGAAAGCCAGCTTGTGGTGGTCCTCTCCCTGTGCCCCAAGCCCTGAAGCGTTTCCAGCCCATCTCCACACACAGTGTGACTCTGTGCCTACTTTCCTGTCCTGAGAAATGCTTTCGTGGGTGTCCATCGTGTGAGTGTCCATTGAGCTGTACACGTGTGCTCCAGGTGCTTTTCTGCTCCAATAAAGTGCCAACAATGACCCCACATGGTCCTCACATGTTTAGGCTGAAAGGACGGCCCAGGAGGCTTGGGAGCTGAAGGACCGCAGTGGGCATTTCCTTCCCATCAATGACAGAAACTGGCCTGGGTGTACTTCCTGAAGGAGGAGAGTTGTTAGCTGAGCCTTCTGAGCAATCACCCACAGCCCAGTGTAGACTGACAGGATGTTCTGGACCGAGCGTCTTGCCTGGCCCACTCTGGGAAAGAGGAAAGCCACTGCTCTGGGTGCTCTGTGTAACCCGACGGGGCCCAGAGGTGGAGTGGACACATCTGACCCCTTGTCAGATTATAGGGGCCCAGAGGGAGGCAGAACCAGAAAGTGGAGCCACATCCAACAACTTGTCAGATGACGCACAGATACCTTCTCCTTTCCCCATAATACAGTGTTTGGGTTAAGGAGTGTCATCAACTTCTGGAAGTCAGAGACCATCTGATGACCCTATAGCCATGTTCTGAAGGAGGAAGGATCCCAGCAGGAAAGGCCAGTGGTGGCCCGGTGAGGTGGGGACTGGCCTTGGCCGCAGCAGTGGTGGACCACCTTGTTGTCCTATCTCCCAGACACAGAGTGGTGGGCAGTTGGCTAGAGATCTGGCATTAAGAGTTTGATGATCTTGGGGTGATCTGAGAGAGGTCTGGCCCTGTGGGAAAGGCGGAAAACATTTGGACAACTCTGCCAAATGGACGCCTAGTCTCTCCAGGAGTCTGCAGTCCAGGCCTGGCCACACACCTCCCTGCGTGTGGGTGTAGTGATAGTGGACATGGTGGTGGCCGGGCAGGGATGGAGGGAGTGTGGGGTGGGGACACAGAGACTGAGAACGCAGGACACTGGCCCTCTAGTCCAGCACTGGTCCAGCCGTGGGCCACCTTGGATGAGACCAGAGCCTGCAGGAGTGTCCAGACCATGCTGGGCAGCACAGGAAGGACCTGAGCTGAGAGTGAGGGTAGGCCTCTGTCATGGGTTGAATTTGGTCCCCAAAATACGTGCCCACCTGGTTGGAACTTAATTCCTAGTGGTTTGTCAGTTATGTAATGATGGAATCACCTCCATCATGTGATCTGATGTGGCTAGCCATGCAGTTGTAAGGGGATTAGGGTGACATGTGACACCCTTATTCAGTCACAGCCCTGATCCTATGTCCGGGGTGTAGCCTGCATCACCTTTCATCTTACAAGAGATAAAAGCAAGAGAGAATCAAGAAGAGAGAGAAAGGGAGTTAGTACCACTAAGAAAGGAGAGTCAGAAACAGAATTCAGACTTTGGGTGCAGGGTCCCTATGCTGAGAACCCCCTAGACCCTAAGAAAGATTGGTGGCAAGCATGGAGTGTTCCAAAGAACTCTAGGACCACAGATGTTGAAAAGAGATGAGGATCTCCCCCAGGTCCAGGTGACACTCTGAGAAAGTCTCACCCCCCTACCACTGACGCCTGAATTCGACCTTCGGCCTCCTCAACTGTGAGAAAATAAATTTCCCTTTGCTCCACGTGTAGTGTTCCTGTGACAGCTGCCCTAGAGATCCCAGACAGCCTTCCATGACACATAGCCTATGGGATTCCAGCAAGGAACCTGACCTTCCCACCCTCAGGGCCCGTCTGCACTGGGGAGCACCCCTCGCTCAGGGCTGACTGACCCTCCCACCCTCAGGGATCTGTCTACACTGGGGAGCACACCTCTCTAGGGGCTGACTGACCTGCCCCATACCAAGCTCTGCATTTCTGTCATCAAGGGCTGCTGGACCTGGGTCTCTCTGTCCACCATCTAGGGCCTCTCAGCACCAGGGCGAGGGTCAATAATATCTTGATTAAGAAGTGTGCTCACTCAATGTAGATGAGACTCCAAGGGTGGGTCAGTCCATCCCTGAAAGAGGGTGTGTTCACTAGTGTAGTTGGGGTCCCAAGGGTGGGAGGGTCAGTCTGGCCCTGAAAGAAAGAGGTGTTCACCTAGTGTAGATGGGACCCAGAGTGTGTGTGTCTGCTCCTAGACTGGACCTCAAAGGTGAGAGAGTCAGTATGACCCTAGAAAAGTGTGCTCACCAGTGTAGATGGAACCCTGAGGGTGTGAGGGTCAGTTGCCAGTCAGAAGCAAAATGGACACACAGAGCCATGGTGTCTCCCTTCCTCAGCTCCAACCAGCCAAGTCCTCTCCCACACCCACACCATACAAACACATACACACAACCCAGTCCTCTCCCATACCCCCGACACTCAATCAGTCCAATCCTCTTCCACACCCACCACACAATACACACATACAGCCCAGTCCTCTCCCCCCACCCCCACACGCACTCTGATACACTCTCATACATACACACTCACCGTACTCCTGTACACACACTTCCACACACATCTGCTCACCCACACCTACACCTACAGCACACTACCACCCTGCACATCCATTCCATGTGCACACTCTCTCAGACACCCACACACACACTCATCCAACACATCTACTCACCCACACATTTACCCGTACACTCTCACCACCCACCCACACACTCATTTCACAACCCAACCATCACACACACGCATTATCACAGTCCAACACACATGTATGGTCCTCACACTGTGCTGTCTGTGAAGCTGAGCTGTGTGGGTCAGCCGGGCACCCAGCTGCAGTGTCCAGAGGATCCGAGAAGAAAGGACAGCAGGCCTGGGCTGTCCCTGACCCTTCAGGAAGCTCCTCACGTTTGGTATAGCGACCTATCACCCAGGCCACAGTGACTCTCCTCTGTGCTCTACCCAATGGGCTGGGGCCCAGATTCCAAAGAGGAAACTGAGGCTCAGAGAGTCTGCTGAGTCCACACTGTGTATGGGCGCTGGAATGGGGGTACAGTGGGAGGAGGGAGCCCCTGGGAGGTAGGAGCACCTGCTCTGTAATGCTGTCTGCCCCTCACTTTCCGGGGCCTCAGCCTACCTTCATTGCATCAGAGAACCTCATGTTAATATGCAGAAGTGCTAAGGCTCTCATCCTGAGGGTGCCACCCCTTCCTCAACCCCACTCCATGGGGAGAGGCCTCGGAGCTTCCAAGTGGCGGCTCCCTTCTGTTCTGTGATACATTCATGGAGTGAGACTGCAGACGGTGTCTGAAGCATTTAAGACACTCCCGCAAGTGACTGGGGTGCTCCGTCCACATCATTGCAGAGAGGTGGCTGCTAGCAGATCAGAACCCCAAGGGAAGAGATTGCACCGCTTTCAGTAGGCAGTTCAAGAAAATTAGCAAAAACTTCCTGGAAAACTTGAAAGACTCAGCTGACAAAACCTCCATTTGTTTGTTAAAAAGAAAAGAAACCGTAATGGTAAAGCAGATGCAACAAAAACATTTGCCATTTTATCCACTGGTAAGTGTCCAGTTCAGTGAAATTGCACTTACTGTGGTATGCAATCATTAATTCTACCTATGCCATCTCCCCAACAGAAACCTAGTACCTCTTCACTGAGACTTCCCCAGCACCCCCAACCTCTCAACTTCTGCTAGCTGTGCATCAACCCTGGTCTCTGTGCATTTGCCTCCCGTGCACGTTTTCAGTAAGGGGACAATACAATGTGTCCTCTTTCACTCAGCCTGTTTTCAAGGTTCATCCAGGCTGCAGATGTGTCAGAAAGCCATTCCTCTTTATGGCTGGATAACACTCCATTGTGTAGGTGGACCACAGTTTATCAGTTCATCCATTGATGGCACTTGGGTCACCTTCACCTTTTGGCTCTCGTGGACACCTACCTGCTGGAGTTTTGCTTTCAACTCTTTTGGGTCTAGACGGAAGTGTGAGATTGCTGGGTCATGTGGTCATTCAATGTTTGGCTTGAGGTTGTACTTTAAAATCTAAGGCTTGGGTCCTAAAGTAAACTAGTTGATCCAATCTAAAGGTTGAATTAGTTCTCGGTACTATTTTAGCCTCTGCAAATGTTACAGATGGGGGAAGCATGGTCTCTAAGGGTGAAGCAAATGCTTTACCTGGTGTGGACCTGAAAGTCTGAACCACAAGGTCGGTGGTTCAAACTCCTTGGAAATCCTATACAGGGTCGCTGTGAGTCGGAACTGATTCAACAGTATTTAACAACAACAACAACAA